CCACAGAAGTAAAACAACCCCATCAACCTTAAAAGCCAAGACTTCCATGTTGCCTTGCAATCTGCTTAAAAAGACATTCTAGATTTTCTTCTTCTTCGAAGAGTAAAGCACACCCATAGATCCAGCACATTATGCATTCAGTAGCTCAAAGAAGCCTAGAAGTTACGCCTCCACCTCTAACTACCTCGCACAGTTCCCAAACAGCCAATTTTGACACCCCACGTGGACAGCAACAATGAATATCTAGCAATAAGGACACAAGCAATTGGTAAGAATGGCCTGAGCCGCATAGAGGACCCAGAAAGAAAATGGGTTGACAATATCTTGATGTATCTCAAAGGCACGAACAATGCTGCCAGAATGCAGGCTTGCAGGCTGAGTCATGGGGATTTCTTGTGCCAAAGGACACGGATTTTGACTGGTCACCTTTTGTTTTACTGTGCTGGCAACAGGTCTCCACAGAAATCTAGATCTCTTACAGGAAGGTTCTGTGGTTGACAACTGCATGAAGTTATGGTTCATTATAAGATTCCAAAACAATAAAAGCACTGACGCTAGATTCCGTGCTCTGCAGTACCATTTCTCCTTCACAAACTCCACATGAAATCCATACAGAAACACACTAACAAACACACAGAATTAAAGGAAACTTGTTATGCCTGCAGGCTCAACCTGCAAGTTTTGGGTATGTAATATGCAGAATGACATCTGGGGTTTTAAAAACCACTCAGTGGGATTCGTTACAACAACCTCTTTTTGTATTATGAAAACAGGCATTTAAGAACAGGACAGTAGCAGTTGATCCCTGAAAATGCTGCTGCCCCTGTCCACAAACAGCAGAGCTCATGATCAACCTCAGTGACACTCAGCACTTAATTTATGACTCATTAGTGCTGTGTGGCAGTGTCATGGGCACAGCAATGCTCAGCCTGTTATAAACTGTTAGGGAGGACATGACACGGTGTCATTTTCTGCCTACTTCTCATTCCCAGCAGCTTTTCAAATTGTCATACTTCATAAATGGCTTTCCACAGGGAACTAAAGGAAAGAAATTCCTGAGCAATTGCACCCTATCAGCCTGATCTGGTAGGAAAACGGGCATGCATGAGATCATTTTCTGAAAGAAAAAAACTACGTAGGACAGTGTTTCTGCAGCTACCACTCAGATCCCCTCTGCAGAAATACAGGCCCCAGTCAACCTGCTCTAGCGGAGCCTAAGGCTAGCTACTGCCACAGCCATCCTCGATGTTTTCTAATATTCCTGCCTTTAGCATGGATCTTTGCTGCCCTGTGTGAATGTTAAAGCGAACAACAATCCTAACACTTGAGAGCTCAGGGTGAAGTCCAGACCTTTTCTAACCTACAACAGGGCTACAGAAACAAGGTAACTTCAAGAAACTCATCTACTTGTTAACTATGCTCTCGTATCCACAATGCAAGGCCGGATTTAACAAGTTTTCCTTTCCTCGTGACATCCTTGTAGTTCCCCTGAGTTGGCTGCCCCTTCTTCCAAAGGTCATAAACTCAATTTTTTGTCCTGAGTTCTAGGTAAATCTCTCTGTTCAGACAAGCAGGTCTTCTTCCCCGCTGGCTTGTCTCTTGGCAGATGGGGATGGCCTTCAAGATTTCCTTCTTGAAGCATGTCCAGCCTTCCTGGTCTGCTTTGCCCTTCAAGACTGCCTCCCAAGGGACTCCATCAACCAGGCTCCTCAACAGGCCAAAGTCTACCCTCCAAAAATCCAAGGTAGCAGTTTCTGCTGAATCCCTCCTTACTTCTCTAAGAATCAAAACCTCTATCATATAGCGATTACTATGGCCAAGATGGCCTCCAGCCACCACATCACCCACAAGTCCTTCTCTGTTTGCAAACAGCAGGTCCAGTGGGCTGCCTTCCCTTGCTGTCTCACTCACCACTCTTGTCAGTATGTTATCATCTTCTGCACACTCTAGGAACCTCCTGGACTGTTTTCCTCTCTGATGTGGTGTATTTCCAGGAGTCATCTGGTAAGTTGAAGGAGTAGCCCTCAAGAAGCAGAAGCTTTCTCTTCACAGCTTTAACCTGGACCCTCAGTCAGCAAAGCACTTAAGCCTAGACTTTAAAGACATTAGTTGTTCCTTTGATTCACATGAGACAATACAGATGTGAGACGTTATTAACATTAGGCACTTTGTTGGAACAGAGCTTCAAAGGATCCCATCAGGGCCACAAACATCTATATAGTGTTGAATAAATAGGACAGGGCCTCCTCTGTAAGGATCACAGGGGTGGTACAAGTCTGCATGTACTACACTTCTTTCCAGAAACAAATGTTTAATGGAACATTTGCTTCTGTTGACAACATAGACTTTAATACAAAAGAGTAGATTTAAATGCCAGTCACCTGATACATCATAGAATCACAGAATGGTTTGGGTTGGAAGGGACTTTAAAGCTCATCTAGTTCCAACCCCTCTGCTATGGGCAGGGACACCTTCCACTAGACCAGGTTGCCTAAAGCTCCATCCAACCTGGCCTTAAACACTGCCATGGATGGGGCAGCCACAGCTTCTCTGGGCAACCTGTTCCAGTGCCTCACCACCCTCAGAGTACAGAGACCAGTACATCCAGTAGTTGGACTCAACTGTTTATTACCTTCCACTCATATAACCAGCCCTCCCTATTACGTGTGCATCTTTATTCCTCTCTTTTAACGAAAAAAAAAGATATTTTGGGCATCAGATACTAAGAAGTAAACAGGATTTTAGCACCAGATAATCTTCTGTTACTCCCTTTGATCTGTAAAGATGAAAATTTCTCAATTTCTTAAGTGAGTAGAATCTGTTTTCCAAATCTTTTATTTAATGTTAAACAATGATTTAAATACTTTTGAAAAACTTTCAGTGTTTTTCAGATTATATGCAGGTTTCTGTGAAGAAAACCGACAAAAATACATATTAAAGCACCTAAAATCTTAGCTGATGCAAACAGTAACCAAAGCAACATGTCAAAAATAAGTTGAAATAACACAAGGAGGCCTACAGAACACTGATGTCTTCCTGCAATCCCAACAGAAATCGTACATTCAGTTTTCAAGAGACCTTTAAAAACCTTTAGCCTCTTAAATAAATCTTAACCAGATTGTGACTGGTTCAAATAGTAGCAATGGCATTGATTTAAATCAGTTTATGGCTATTAATATATGGCTATATAAACTGAGGATTTGAAGTCTTTAGAATCTTGGTGACCTCATTATTCTTCCACATGAAGCCTCCAGAGCTTCACAATGTGATTGCTGAACATTACAGCACATGCATGCTTAGTCCATTAACCTAGGAATGTGTTTTATAGCAGCCTGCTAGAATTTATTTCCACATAAACAGAAAAAAGCCAAGCAGAGACTATGCTAAAAATCTTTGAAGTGTAAAAGCATAATTGGGATGGACTTTAAACACTTCTGTTCCACAGTAGTGAGAAAAGAGTTATCACTGTTTGATTTCAGAGCTAAGGAGGGGAAGAATTATTATCTCATCTATGTGTAGCACTGTCTTTCAAGAAAATTCATTTATTTATTTACTAGGATACTAGAGTCTGTAAGTGTTCCTTAGAACAGTAACTTTCAGCTAAATGCTACCAGTAGATGGATGGGAAAAAGGCTATCTAACAAATAAGGGAGTGATAAAAATATTCCAGAGCATGTATTTTCTTAGGAACACCCATGGAGGACCAGACCTTTTGCTACCACAATACAATACAAGGTTATGGTACAGGAGGACATATTGCAGACTTGAGAGGTAAAATCTACAAGGTAAAGTCTACAGAGGAATAGGCACAGATAATAAGATAGTATCAGAGGAACTCATACCGCTAAACTGGTCTGGATGGGAAAATGTGAGCAGAGTTACTTCATTTAATACACTGCAATGGATTTTCAATGCTGTATTTGGTAAATGGTGCTGGTAAACACAAAACATGAACCCTGAAGGTATTTAACGCACTGGACATCAAACTCTTTCACATTCAGCTAGCCTACAGCTCGACCAGCAGTATGCAACACAAGTACTATGGCAAATGTAGTCTTTTGCCTGCTTGCAATCAGCATTTGAACTGTCTGTAACATTAACAAATATTTTGAGAGTCTTGAAATAATCAAGGCATGCTGTGCCAAGGGATTTCAGCTTGTGCCTTATTTAGAAGCACTTCATAGTTACAAGTATTATTTAGAATAACCAAATTCTTAATTTCTCATACCTGACAGCCACATAGGTCCACATCTGCTTGTGGTTATGCCTGGAAAAGCTGCAGAACTGCATAAAAGCTTTTTGTGAAAAAAAGCAACAAAACTATGCAAAGAGGTTGTGTGAGGATTTTTCTGTTTCCTCCTACAGTAAAAGCTGACTTTGCTTTCACAGGTGAATCTCAGTTTCAAGGAAAGTTCAGCTAACCTTCCTAGAACACGTGACTTGCCTTAAAGTCTTCCAGAACACAGGCTTAAATTCAAATGTCCTGAGTTTAACCGATACACATGCCCTGCGTCTGTACTGGCAAATTAAACAGAGCCCAGGCATGCGCCAGGAAAACTGGGAAACAGTTGTCTTCACTGCTAAATGACAGAGCTGCAGCCCAGCACAGCCAGAGCTTTTCCAGCTATGTTTGGGCTCTATTTAGGAGTTAGCATAGTACAGGGACCATTCCTGCTAGTCCCAGTTGTCTGAGGACTAACAGGGCTGGCCCTGGCACTATTTAGCATGAGTAGTGCAGAAGGGGTAATTTCATTTAACTGTAAGTCGTATTTGTGTTTCAGAATAGAAAATGTGTCTCAAGAGACAGATTCCTGGGTGGCACAAGCTGCCAGAAGGTCCCCAGCTGCTACAAGGGCTGTCCCCCCTTTCTTCCCTCCTTGCGAGCCATGCCATCTTGTCCTGGCAGTGACAGTCCTGCAGCCCATGCAGGTAGAAATAAGCCCTTTTTGTTCTTAATTTCCCAGGTACGGTTTCCAGGTGGATGGGCTTGAGCTATGTTTGGGCTCTATTTAGGAGTTAGCATAGTACAGGGACCATTCCTGCTAGTCCCAGTTGTCTGAGGACTAACAGGGCTGGCCCCGGCATTATTTAGTTTAGTAGCCATGGAGTCTTCAAAAACAGTCTGTGGATTGTGACTGTGTGTGGTGGCCAGCAGATGCACAAGATCTACTTTACTGCCACAAGCTGATGAATGTTTTGCTGACATTGAGCTGCTTCCAAACTAGAAGACATCAGCATCCTGATACACATTTACAGAATGCACTGGTCTGACTCAGAGGTCTGTGACACTAAGGTGAATACACAGTAAGAGCAGAAGGTAGTGGAATTTACACAGAAGTTGGCCAAGGTGTCCCACATGAGTATGGGCTCTCCATAATTTCATTTTGGGTTGAAAATCCAAACCATGAAAATCAGTGACATGAGTCACATCAACTTGGAACCAGAATTCCCCCTGCCTAGTTCACAACGGTGAAACATGCAAAACAAATGCATGTTTCTTTTAATGGTTTCATTGGTGTTTAGATATATTAACTACTAATTCCCACGTCACACATGTAGACTTCAGGATGAGAACAAAACTGCTTGGCATAATTCGACTTGTAGTATTACAAGATCATTTGTGTATTTTGAGGAGAGTTCTAAGTGTAATGTGTTGCAGATACAATAAACACTGCCAGGTGAGGCAGTCACAAGTGTTTTAACACAATACCCCAAGCTTTGAGCTGTGGATAGCTCTCGAGCTCCATCAGGCTTTAACAAGCTCTCAGGCTTCAGGGATAGATTCTGCTTTCACAATTTAAGAAAAAACGAGCCTTGGAGAGCTTTGATATTTTTCATTCACAGGAGGTAGATCAAACAGACTGTGAGCAGAGATATTTTAAATATCACAAATATTGATTTAAAAGACACTGCAAAAGAACGTTTTTTTCATTCATTCAGCAACAGCTTGAATATGTCTGACTGCCTGTGCTATCTACAGGCCACAGGTTTAGTGCAGACTCTGAATCTGCCTTTTCCTCCCATCTTTACAGTTTTCAGATATGAGACCAGCTCAACAGGTAAAGCACCAGAATCCTAAATTTAGACAGAAACAAAAATGATGACTTGAATCGCTTGAGGTTTGTTTTTAAAAAAAAGTGCCCATATTAAAAAGGTATCTTTAACTAATTAATTAATACATTTGGAGACTTTTGACCAGAAGGGGTAATTCTGTGGAAAAGAATTGCAAAATAATACATAGAAAACTGCAAAGATGAAACTCTGAATTTAAAAAGATGAGAGAATCCTATTTTCTTTGCATTTCCCATTTAGCATCTCATTACCTTGTCAACTATAGACGACATTATACTCTTCTGGCTACCAGGACTAGTATCTTAGCGACCTTAACCCAAAATTGGTTTTCATAAGGAAAGTTCCTGCAGGCAGATTTTTTGTTACAGTTACACTGCCTCGGTTTTGATATTCTGTGGTGTAAAATTCCCTTCTATTTCTTCTTCCTAGTTAAAGCTAGAAAGTGTAATGAAAACATGACCCAACCCAACTGGACTGATTGGCTTAACACTGTATGTCCACTATCCCATTGTGGTTCTCTATGGGCTAGGTCATAACAGCATCTAGCTGGGCACTGGAGACTGGCCTGCCACAGTGAGACAATGTCAAGTGCCCTCTATTGCATGTCTAAAGATCTTCCTACTGCATTGTTTTAGCTGGTTTTCCTTTACCTCTCTGCTCGGATTTTGTATCTGAGAACAAAATAGGCAATTAGGCGCAGAGAGAAGAAGAAAATTCCAAGAACAATGAAATCCAGGTAAAGTTTGGCATTTTCTACATCCAGTTCTCTCAGAATGGCCTCTGATTTTTGAAAATGGCAAGTTTCATCTTTATCACAATGCAGGTCTTCTCGATCCAGTCCATAGATGGAGAGAATAACTCCTTCAAACCCGTATCTAGAAAGAAGAAAGATGGATTACAAGGAAAAGTCCTGATGATCTGTTTAGAGGTACTCCACCAGCAATAAAATCCCTATGAGAGCTCGGCTGAAACACTGAACTACTGAGTAGTTCAGTATTGCTCTGACATGTGTCTCAGGGCAAGTTCTACCCCTGTTACAATCAAGCAAATCACGTCACTGGTATTTTATGTAAGATTGAAAAGGACAGGAGTTTTGCCTTTAACTGCTTCCAGCTAGTATATAATGCAATTTCTCCAAAGAAAATGTTAAAACAGAGGGCAGACTAATTTCAGCTCTTATTCAGAAATTCCCCTTTTAGAAGTGACATAATTAATTCATTTTCCTCTTAAATAAGCAAAACCAGGAACACAATTATGGTTTGAAGTCAGAAACACATTCAAACAGGCATCAGTCTAGAATGCTGCTTCTCTTTCCTTCCATGCTCTATAGTTTCACTAACAATGCACAGTTCCCACATGTCCCCTGGCACGGGCTGCACTTACCATTTGAGTTTGTGAGCAGAGTGAAGAGAGGGCTTCAGGAGACCCCACATGGGCTGGACAATGGCTTACGGCCTCATCTTGAAGTCTAGCTACTAATTCAGGGTCTCATTATCTCTTGTAAGTCCCTGTATAAGACCTCACTTGCTAAATGAGAGATTACTTTAGCTTGGGCTTTCTCAGTAATAGTGCAGCTTGGGCAGGGTGAAGGAGGATGAGAAAATTCTCCTCACCTAATTTCAGCTATAAATATTTAAGTGTCTTGTCTAAACTAACCCTCCATGCCAGCCTCCAGAGGTTTCCTCATGGCAATCATCCTATCTAAAGATAGCTGTCTCAGACTACAACAAAGACTGACACAGATGGGATATAAGGTGCCTATGGTTCTTAAAACACTAGTTTAGATTAGAGATGACACAAATCCCACACCTCTTGTGGTAGTGCTACCACAGGTCTTTATCCCACAAGTCTACCTACAATATTGTCTTTCAATATAAGATGCTGGCATCAAATTCTCAGTTCGGCATACGGTCCCTATTATTTCAGATATCCACTACTGCAGAATCTAGGCAGATCTGCATGCTGTGCAATCTCACTGAATTCAAGGAGACTGACATGGACTTATAGCCAATAATTTTGGCTACAAATACTAAATGCTCCTATTTATTTCATGTCATATACAACATAAAATGCAGTGAGAAAATGTGTCATGCATCACATGTGAATTTATACTCTAAAAGAATGTGCTGTGAACATACCCAAAATAACCAACCAAGCAAGCAAAGGTAAACATACAGCATTTCCAGATGGGAGGTTAATGGCCTCCCTAGCAGTACCTGACATAGGAAATGTAGGACATCCATTGGAGGTATGTTGGGATGGTATCAAAGCTAACAAAAAACCCAGAGAACAGAAGCACCGGGATTGCAGTAACTGGGCCCACAAAAGTGGCCACCTGTGAAGAGAAGGAACAGACAAATCTCTTGTCAGACAGCCACAGAAAACTTCCTCTTTCATCTGATGTCCTGGCCTTCAGTGAGGAAACTAGCCTTTGACAGAACAGTCTTTCATTATGGCAAATCCTCTGTTCTGTGCCAAAACCAAACAGGCAGTGCAAACTTACTTTTTAAGCAGTGGGGACTGAAGCCATTCAAGTCCTTCTTACAATGCAACTTCCCAAAATTATCACAGTTCCAAATACTAGGAAATTACTGACTTATTTATTTACGCAGACAAGATTTCTTGTGAGGGGAAGGGTAGATGCTGTTAATGGAGAAAAAGGAGTTACTCTCGTCTTCCTAAACCCTTTACTAGTTGACAAAGCTGCTGTGCTGGGATCTGTCCTTTGAAGGACTTGAACCCATCAAGAAGTTTACAGAGTAAGATGTGCACTCTGACTCACTTGCTCCTCTGGGTTTGAGACCCCTCTTTCTAAATATTATCCTTTATCACTTCCCACTGAGGACACACAGACCTCCCTCCTCATTAACCCCACATGAACAGTAGCTTCAACCAATTGGTCCTAAAATGTTGCGAAGAGGATAAGGAGCATCTCCAGCTGGGTGGCTTTGGTGGGGAAGATAGATCTTGACCAAACTCCAACCTGTCCTCTCTATATCCCCTCCAGGGTAAAGGTACAGGTATCTGGGGAGAGCAGAAACACACAGATTGCACAACAGGGCTATGGTGGTCTCCACAGGGTGGCACAGAGAGGGAATCAAATATTCTGCTGCAGAAACAGCACCAATGGTAGCATCAATGTATGTTAATGTCAGCATCACCTGTTATTATAAGCACTACAAAACGGTTCTGCTGTGGAATGGTCACCACAGCACATCTGCTGCCAGGAAGCAGAATGAAGCTACATGGCCAGCTTCCAGTGTGACAGTCCTACCAACAGCTGCTTCTCTCCCTCCTTCTGGAGAAGCTGAGTATCTTGGTCAAGCTTTTTCTTATCTTGCCTCCTGCAATCTTTTTGTGTGTGTATGGAAGAACCCTCTCCCAAGCTCCCGATTCTCATGGCTTACCTCCACTTTGTAGATGCATAGAAATGCACCAGTCCCACAGTTCTAGGACCTACTCAGCGTGGGATGAATAGCGAATGACAACCTACTCAAGGAGGGACAGGCACAGCCCCACTCAAATGGGGAAAGGAGCCTCATATCCAGTGCGTATATATGCTGTTTAAGCTGATGCCAGTGGAAAGCATCAAGCAGCTGTACCAGACCAAGACAACATTTTGCCTGTCATCTCTCAACGAATGTCTTGGGGACACAGCAGCAGTCATAGCAACCAGTGTTAGGAGACAGCGGGGTTCCTGTGAAACCACAAAACACTATCAGTACCTGGAGGGATGTAGAGGCTGCCCCTATGAGAAGACCCAGTGACTGAGCCACCAGGGATGTCATGGTTCCCAAGGCTGCGAAGAGGACAAATCGGAGTGCATCAGATGGCTGTGAAGTCATCCAGTACACAATACTGCAGTAAGCCACAGGAAACATGATCTGCAAGGAGATACCCTTGGAGTTAGTCTATTAAAGCCAAATATTTGCTGTTACTATGACTAATAACAACATGGGGATTTCTAATGAATCCACATCTCTAAGCCTTTCCATTACATGACGCGAATGGCTGAGAAAAATACATATATCTGCCAGAGACTGTGATACCTATTGTATTACTTAGGCAATAGAAAACAGATCCCATTTGCTTATAACCCTCTCCAATTCCCCTTCTGCAAAAAAGAAGATACTAATCTGTTTATTAAAATAATTGGGTCAGGTCTAGGTTTTTGTGAGGGTGCTTCTGATTTGGGCCTGAAGCTTCAGCACACACATATGGACAGTTTCTCCACCATTCAGATGAATAAAGTAGCAGTACTAATCTTTTTGGCAAGTTGACTTGCCATGAACTTCAATGGTTCTTGTTTTATTGAAGAGTAGAGCATATACCTGAAAAGGAACATCAGCCATGGTTTTGGCGAGATAGTAGGCTTTCAGGCTGTACCAGTAGTTCAGATGCTCTCTAAGAAATACTCCCATCTCAAGAGGAACTACAGAGAACACAAATTAGTAAATTAGGTCGTCAGTATGCAATATTGTTGCACATAATAACATAGTTTATCCCTATCTAACCCTGACTGCTGCAGTCCCATAGTGGGACTGGAACTCTGAGGCCTTTGACAGACCAGCAATAGTTTCAATGGTCTGTAATGAAATATGAGAGGTCAGGTACTCACATGTAAGGACAGTTGGCATCAGCGCAGCAAACATAAGAAACAACATGGAAAAAAAGAGGAAGCCAGAGTTGCTGAGGACTTTCTTAGCTTCATTGCCAATGCCTAAGTAAAGCAAGCCGATGAGCAGCCCAATACCAATGTGTGAGGTGATACGCAAGTGCGTCAGGACCTACGAGCAAGGGAAGAGTAGTATTTCTGATCAGAAAGTCTAAACTCAAAAAACAATGGTAATATGACTGAAATCAGATATACAGATTGCAGAAAAGGAGTATTTACGTCCAGAAGAGCTTATACAGAAATTACAGAATCACAGAATCATAGAACAGTTAGGGTTGGAAACAACTTTAAGATCATCAAGTTCCAACCCCCTGCCACAGGCAGGGACACCCCACAAGAGACCATGTTGCCCAAGGCTCTGTCCAACCTGGTGCTGAACACCGCCACAGATGGAGCATTCGCACTACTCATTTCCTTCTGGCAAACTATGCTTCAGCTAAGGAAAACTTACTGTAATGAGCTTCCCAGTGTCAATCAGACACCTCAGTATTAGAGTTCAGAAAATTTCTTCCTGTAAACTCAGGCAGAAACTGCAAATGATGCAACCTGAAACCTTCCTGACAATGTCATGGAGCCACTGGCCCTCATTCATCAGGAGGAGGCTTTCTCTCTAACTAAAAGATAACCTTCCTAGAGGAGAAGAGAGGCAGAAAAGGTATTTCAGGCTTATCTAGACCAAACTAACTTAATCAGGCATAAAATATCCTTCTGTGCCTTCTCTGCAATACAGCATTCCTACAAGAAGTATGGAAAAAAAACCAACAAAACAACATTTGGAACAACTGCAAGCCTTTACAGTTGAACAGAAAAAAAAAATAAATAAAACCAGCACTGTTCTTCAATGTCTGCATCAGAAAATAAATTACAATTTCCCCTTGATGGGGATGAGGACAGGACCATATGATCCATGGTCAGCGCTTGCACACCTATGAGATATGCTTTTCAAGTGTACCAGAGACTCATCAGCTCATTGAACCACGTGGAGAATGTGAAGCTGTATGTTCGCTTTGGATTACAAAATCCCTCCCACAGGCACATGTCAATTTATTTTTGACCAGTTGCTCACAACGAAGATGGTACAGTTAAAAGCAAGACTGAAAGATGAGTCTCTTTCTTTTGAAATTCTGTGATGATCTTCATGTATGGACTGTTGAACAGGACCTTTAAGGTGTATTATACTACCTCAAAACCAACTGAACAGACCTTCTGGATACAAAAGATATTATAAAGGCAGTCTTACCGAATCCCTCATGATGGTGAGAAAAGTTCTTTTGAAGAGGATACAGAACTGGGTTAGGCAGCTGGCAGAGAAGCTGTGGCAGCCTTCTGTGGAGGAGGAATCCTGTAGAAACACATAAACTTCTTTCTTTGCAGTATCTTGCTTAGTTTTCATTCACAAAACCCTACTCCTATCAGTTACGTGTGCCCAGAAGCCTCCCCCACTGATCAAGGATTTAAACTCTCTCCCCCTCCCAGCTTCAAGCCATGCCCATTAGTTGTGGTATATAAAATACCTCTTCAGAAGGCCTGTGCCAGAGGAAGGGATTCAACTCATTCTCACCACCAACATCTCTCTTGTAGTCTGTGTCACATATCCTTTCCCGTACTGCCCTTACCAGCCGGCCATTCTGGTCTCCATATTCACCAGATGCTACTTCCATAACTACAAAAAAATAGAAAGCAAGTGATTGATTTACACTACCGACTAGTTACAAGCCTCATTATTAGATCCCCATGATTCAGCAGCATTGACAGAAAGTTTTGTCTAGAACAGGCTCTAAAATGCCACACAAGTTCATACATATAAGCACATATTGTAAATGTGTCTTTCTATAAATCTTCAAGTTTTCATTCTGGAAGTTAAATGAACCATTTTAGGGGAAAGGCAGTGAACATGGGACAGTCTTGGTAACAGCAAATGACAAAAGCCTATTCTTATGGTCCTTACTGATTCTTTGGAATTAAGAAACAACAGTCAGAAAACCTCACAATGCTATTAGCTGTACAATACTACAGCAGTATTGCTCAAGATGAAAAAAAAAACCCAGAATACTGGAGCCACTTTGAAACCACTAAGATTAATTACTAAGAATTTATCTTTAGTTTCCTGGACTTGAGAGAAATACTGACTAAACTTTGCCACTAGATGGCATTCGAATTACTTAGAAAAAAACTAAGATTTTGAATATTTTGAATTTTGGTACATATATGTATGTATAAATGAATGTATGTATACACACATATATACACATATGTATACATGTACCAAAGTATAAAACACACCATGGACCCTATTACCCTGAAGGTGTTAATCAAATACAAAATATATACTATTCAAATTGTTCTTACCAAAATCTGCTGGATTGTGGTAGGTTGGGCAATTCAGACCCAAATCTCTCAAGTAAGGGACAAGGTTTACTACTTTCCCACGGTAAATGCATTGGCCTTGACTTAAAACATAGAGCTGGAAAACAAGGCAAAGAAAAAGATAAAACCCCATGTAATAGTATGCAAATATTTGAACCTGCTACCTGTATGACAGCAATCCATTAACATAGTGACCTCTTCCTGTCCCTCTGATAAGAAGACCTCGTGAAGATCTGTCACCACTTGGAACTACCTTTGCGTAGAATTATAACTAATGGGAAATTACACGCTTAAGGTTTGACTTTTGCAAACATTCCCTTCAGGACTTAAAGCATATTAACACAGAAACAGACTAATTGCAGACAGACACATGCTGAAAATATGCAAGAAATACATTATGGATATTTTGCGCTGGAAGACCAGGCTGGTGAATGCAAGAATGGAAGGAACAGCACAGCAATGGGAAACAGCTTGATTATTCTTACTTTTAGCCACACTATTGACTTTCAATAAATTTAACCTAAGCACATGTGGTCCACATCCTGTTGTTGGGTTGGAGAAAAGATCTCCAACTGACTTCACTTCAACTATTATTATCTCACGTGAATAAACTCTTTTGAATTTACACCTGTGTAGCTAGGATGAGAATGTGTATCAGCAACATTGCAGACACTGGCACTAAAGCTCCCTTGCTCTTAAATTAATCTAATTTACTCCACTGGCATCCCTGTGCCCAGGAGCAGTTGTGGGTGAAGGGGTAAAAAACACAAGTGTAATAATCATAATTTGGGAAACGTACCAGCCAGATTCTTTACAAACGTTACATGTAAATAATGGAAATGGGTACAGAAGAAGAAAAAAACATGATCAAAAAGTATATTTTGCTCTTATTTAACTTCTTGATTTGATTTGAACCACAGACTAGAATTATCCATGATTTTACCTGAAGAGTGAAGCCTTGAAAATACAACCTATCTAAACCACACATAAAGAGTCTGAAAACAATACCTGATCGAACAACTCGAACAGTTTAGCACTGGGCTGGTGAATCGTGCAGATGATGGACCTGCCACCCTGAGCTAAAGCCTTCATCAGAGAGACCACCTGAAAACACGATGCGCTATCCAAACCACTGAATAAAAAGAAATGTTTGTTATCCACAAGTCCACAGGCACCATTCAAAGCTAGCGCACGTATTTGCTACCTCTGCCTCTCACTATTATCCTTTTATAAATTTTCTCTGTAGCAGTTTAATTTTATCATATACCAACCTTATGCTTTTATTTCTCCATCAGTCTTTTAATTAAGCTGGAAGCATGCCTGAGAATGAAAAATAGACTATTCTCAAAGCTGCCTTAAGGGACTTCTACATTTTAGGATTGAAGATTTAAATGCTCCCAACTTTAATGAACAGATACGTATTCATAGCTCTCCCAGCCTTTCCAGACTGGGATCACAGACTTTGATTCTAAATATGCCACATTCATTATTAAAAGTCACACTTTAAAATGCTTATATTCAAGCTATCTTTTCTTGAAAAAAAAGAAGAAAACTCATGCCACAATCTGGAAATATTTTCCTCTCTCCCTTCCTGTTTCAGTTTGTGTCTCCCTTAAAAATCATTTGTTGCATGATCTGGCAGTTACAGCAGTGACCCAAGGCACTAAGCACCTAAATCAAATTACTTCTTGTGGCATCACTCAGTTCTTACAGGCAACACAAAATGAGCCTTTTCCAAGGACTTAAGAGGTCAATAACCTTTCTGCAGCACTGTTCTACCATATAAAGCAGTATTTGCCTATCTTTAATTTTTGGCAATGAAGTACCTGGTTGGTTCATCAAAAAACATGACAGGAGGATTGTTCACCAGCTCCAAAGCAATGGCAAGACGCTTTCTCTGGCCTCCAGAAAGACTCCCAGTCCTTGTATTGGCACATGTCAGCAAACCAAGGGCTGTCAATATTTCCTTTACCTAGAGGAAACACAACAATGCATCATCTAAATTTGTTACACAGAAGAAAAGCCTCTTTACTGATTTTCATGGAGTATGTAAACTAGCTCATGACTTTGTTTCACAATCCATATACCAAAGACTTTTTCCACCTAATGTAGGATTTATTAGATTCAGTGGGGCTTAACAATCTACCGTTTACTATTTTGACCCAAATTCTACTTGTTTGCCCTATATGACCTGTCTCAGTAAGGAAACTCTGGCTGTGAAAATGAGAGGAAATCAGTTCTTCTGCATCATCCCCTGGATATGCTGGATATGGCACAGATATCAAAACAGCTCTGCAGCATGTGAGAAGTTACTATATAGTGAAACCAAGAAGCTTTTTCAATAGAACTTCTAGGCTCTATGTACATGGGACTGGAGAACTTTGTAACAAAAACAGTGGCTTCTATGGAGCAATGACTTGCTCTTATCCCATCTGTTCTTCACAGACTACTCTTTAAAAGGCAGACACTGATTTTAAGTGTTTCATTCTCCTCAGAGCCAGTTCAGTTATCACACAGGCTTTCAGACGTTTGGGATTTCCTCAAGGCACAGCCCCAGGAAGGGCACAGCTTGTCCCAGGATCTCAGGAGCAAAAGAAGAACAATCCCAGCTGCTATGAATTTCTGGTTTCAATGATTGTAGATCTGGCCTGGTAGATCCATATGAGGAAAATAGCTCTTTGGCATCAGTAAAAACATGAACATAAAAGTGAGCAAATCCAAGCCACCTTGCTCATGCAATTAAAAACTCTACCACTTAAAAGGTAGAAAGAAAGCCCAGATATTTAACACTTCACTGAAGTATGGGAAGAGGAGCCTGTCATTTTTTTGAAGTAATGTTGTTTGGATGGAGGGAGTTTTCAAAAAAGGGTGGCTGACATGGTAAAAAAAATCATTAGACCAAGTAGGGCCTGACCCTGCATTTGTCCTGATTTTCATTTCTAGGAGCTTTCAGTGATAGGGAGTGAAAAAAAGAACAAGCCCTACTAGCCCTCGTCCTCAGAGGGAGGATCCAAATGACATCCTTCCCTTTATCTCTAGGAAAGATGCTAAGGGACATGAGCAGCACTAGCTAGGTCAACTAGAAACATAAACTATGGTTCAGTGGAAGATTTTTCACTTGTCTCTATTTCAAACAAGCATCTGTAATGGTGATAACACAAGTGCAAAAATTCGTAATATTTATCTATGGTAAACATTTACTTTACAATTTACAACAATAAAATGAATGATGTAGTCCAGCACAGGCCAGTAACACTAACCAGAAAATGACTGCCCTTCTCGTATGTCTTGAATAAAGGCATACAGCAAAGATTTTTCCTCAAAGAGTTCTTTGTAAATACAGTAACAGAGTGGACAAGTGAATTGACCTGCTTGGCCTAGCTTACTAAAGTGTAAATGAATTAAGACTTTCAAAGTACAAATAAAATTAACAGCTGTTTCTAGACAGATGTATTTTCCAATGAGAAAAAAACAAAATCTGTGGTTAGCTTATGAAAAAAATAACAATAAAACTTGAGAGAATCGAAGCAATCTTAAACTGCCAAAGATACGTTGATTCTTTTAAGTTTCCCTCTCTGGAGCTCTTTCTGGTTCTTAAGGGTCTCTGAGACTGAAGAAATGCCAAATGTTCCAATTTGGAAATAAATATATTTGAGGTTATGATTTATTCTACCATTACAAGTCCACTGCAATTCAATATTAGATAAAAATATCTGCTTTACAGATCTCACTTCATGGACTTCTCTGACATCCCCAGAAATGCTCTGTTTGATGGACACTATACATACCATTTCTCTCCTGCCTTCATCCTTCTCTTGAAGTTTCAGATGAGCAGATACCTGCAATGCAACACAACGGAATTTGATTTTTAACTGGTCTGAAGCACAGCAACCAGTTAAAGCAGATGTCTCAGGCACAACATCCCAACGTACTGTTGAAACAACTTTCAACCCAGTCAAGAAAGTTTAAGTTGAACTATAATGTTCAAATTACAAGAATCACATATGCCTGTGCACTAGGTAACTGAGTATAATCTGATTTAAGCAACCACTCAAGCATCTGACAAAAAACATATTAGAAAGAAAGGCCATTCTGCAAGTCAAAGAGCTTGGGAGGAAGATGAGGGAGTCATGTCTTTTGCATAGCCACTGACTTCCCAGGCAATGCTAGAATCACAGTTTATTGGTGCTCTATCCATATTCTAAGGATAACCAAACTGCCATTCTCCAGCATGTGAACAAATAAGTACAGAAATAAATAATCTTGTAAAAGATGTCATTGGCTATCCTAAGAGGCAGCTCCACAAAACATTATGACTAACCCTTATTAGAAGCAAATAAACTGTTAACTAATTTATTTTTTGTCAGAGCCCTGACTGATTAATTTAGACAGCAAGTATCATCTGGGACCAATTCTACAAAAGTGGTCCTATGGGATTCTGACTAGAATGTTCACATAAACAAAAGAGAAGAAAAATTTCCTCACAGAGAAGAGCCTTTGCAGAAGATTAGCCATATAAAAATTACTGTGATTTCTTCTGGCCTTAAAACTTGTGAGCTGATGCTAGCATACAGTATGAGCAAGCTTAGACTTATTTTGATAACACCCTCTGAGAAAAACTGCCTCATTCTCTCAAACTGATCAAAAGGCAATTCTAGACTGCTTGGTCAAGCCAGCAATTAGTAAACTTCTTAATGCTACGAAAAGCAGTAAGAAGAATTTATGTTCCCTGTAAATCTTGAGATTATTCTGTTCCTGTTGGCTTCCTGCGAAGAACCAGGAGAGATTTTATACAATACCTTTATTTTAAAATGGGCCCAGAGGAGTAGAAGTAGCAGAGAGACCATGCTCAAGTCAAAATAGCAGTCAGAACATAGAAGGTGGGGAGACAGAGAGAGACAAGGATACTCATCCACCACACTAAAAAGCCTCATTCTGTGCAGCATTTCAGGTTCCACTCTCTAGAAGGTCTAAGGAGTAGAGCTGTAGATCTTTCAAATCCTACTGCTGGTCACAAATTGAAAATGGTAAAGCTAAGGAAGCTCAGACAACCCCCCTAGGAGGATGAGCCTTAAATGGAATTCAAGGCATCATCAAAGTCCAAGCACTTTCATTGAGTGGGATTAGACAGAGATAACAGCTCGTGCCATTACCAGGCATAAGAACATAGGCACAGGACACAAAGATTTTTCCATTTTCTCCATCCTGAATGAATGAAAAAGCTCACCATCATAGCTTCCTGGACAGTCAGATGAGGAAGGAGCATGTCATCTTGCATGATGTAGCAGGAGACTTTGCGAAAAGAGCGTAAGTCACGAGGCTGTCCATTGATGAGAATTTCTCCTTTCATTCCTGTCTCTCTGAAAGGAGCCAAGAAAACAAACAGGGGTGAATTTTGCCTTCGCTTGTGCTGTTACAGGCCTCGCTTCAAGTGTGTATAAAATGTGATTTAAAAAATAGCACAAATGTAAGACATTGAGTCAGATTTGTTACACAGCTAGAAAGGACATTGTTTTTGTGTGTGTTTTGGACTTTAAATTGCTTCTCATCATTGGATCAGACCTGTTAACAGATATATCTAAAGTGACCAGAACAGGACAAAAAGAAAAGATATAAGCAGTAAGAATCTCATTCAAAATCTGTGAAATACATGTTTTCACCATACACTGGGGTAAGATTTCTTCTGCTGTTTTCCCCAGGGAGCCATGAGGCTAGCTGATCTTATTTGGGATTTTCATTGTTACTGACCTGTATCCTGCCAGAATGTTCATGAGTGTTGACTTCCCAGCTCCTGAAGGACCCATAATTGCAACAAGTTCTCCACTGCTGAATTTCCCTGAAATTCCTTTCAAAAGGGTCTTATAGCCTGAAAGAAGAAATAAAAGTTTCCTGAACCCTTCACAATCATGTTTGGGGAACAATGAAAGTTCATTTCCACTAAACAATGATGACAAACAGGCATTAGCAGATACCTACTGAGAGGTTGATGCTAAGATCAACACACTGCAATAACTATCAAAAGCCAAATTCTGAGTGGCAGCAGCAGCCTCCTCCTGCTACACAAGGATCATGTTAAGATTCCGGGATCACACACTCTTGATTCACTCTAGGAAAATTTTCTAACAGGGCTAAGAAGCCTTGCTGCCATTTTATAAGTATCTTCTCAGACTATTTTACTAGGAGGTTGGCATTTCCATTAAAATACCTAGAACCTCAAAGGTAACATTAACTCCACAGCCTTGGAGTAGACTGCCCTCCAATCACTGCAGTTTCAAAGCCAAAATTCTGCCCTCTCATCAATACAACTACTTCTTGGAAAGTAATAGCCACAATCTCAAAGGCAAAGCCCTACGTTTTTCTTCATTCCCCCCTAAAAGAGGTATGACAAGAAACACAGCAAAAAGAGACATACAGATGGACCATAAGGACTCTCTTACCAGAGGAACTGTAAAGGCTTGTCTAGACAGGGAGACTGATCACAATAACTCTGTAAAAATAATTCCTAGGGAAATACTTACTCCAGATTAAGAACATGCAAGGTTTTTTCTCATTTAGATTAATCCACCTCAGAAGGTCATGCCACAATAATAATGTCCCAGGCAAAGCTGCTCCAGAATAACCAAATCCAAATATCTCACCTTATTCCTGACTAAATTACCTTTGTCAACAAACCTTAATTTAAACCCCAAACTCCCTGTTGCTCTAGGTGTAAGCAAACTGGACTCCAATGAGAATTCTAGATTTGGACTTAGTTGCTTTCATCTTGTCCTGTATGATTCCCATTTGATGGCATAAGCACACTGGGGAGGGTGGAAAGAACCCTGACTGGCATCTAAATTCTTAAGGATCTCTTTCCCTTTTATTTTTTTTGCTTGCTTACTTTAATTACCAGTGTTTTTATTTAAAACATTTAATAATAAATAAGTTAAATAAGGTGTCACAAACCAATCTCATATTAAAACCAAAAAGAGTAGAAGATTCATTTCAACTCAGTGTTGTGATCTGGCAATCCATTTTGCATACACAGGCAACATTTATATTCCACATGTAAACCTCTCCCAGTCCTGCAATTATCATTAGCATAGGTTGTATCTGGATATTGAAATGCTGTAAAAAAAGAAAATCACATTGTCTGCAAGCTCCTAGAAAATGAATGGTGGATTATATTCTTTTGATTTCTCTTTCTTCCCAACTCCACAATTTCTTGCTTTCCTTTCATCCTCTCTTAGCACTCTTTATTCTTTCTCTAGTCTCAGTTCACTCTTTCAATGGCACAGTAAGCAAACTTTTGCACCAAAACCATTAATGTTATACTGCCATGAAGCCTCCCAAATCCACAGCAAATAATTCTTGAGTATTCCCCAGCCCAGGGGCAAAGCAGCAGCCACAAAAACTCTGTCTAGAAATATCTGATCCTATTATTTTCACAGCAAATGTCCTAGAAAATGTGACTGACCAAATCTCTCAAAGTAACCAGTTTTTTAAGTGCCTTTTTTAAAAACAGTAATTTTTCATTCTAAAATCCTGTCCTGGACCTGAACAAAACTACTTGTTTGGAAGCTATGCGATATTAGGGATATGTAAACAGCAGCGTAGTCACACTGCCTGTTAATGGCACAAGTCCTAGGAACAAAAGCAAAGGTGATCTATCAAAAGGAACAGCTATTTTGAAGAGAGAAATCCAAGAGAACTTATCCCTCATGCCAATGTCACCACCCAAACCAGCATCTGAAGGAAAAGTGCAAGGAAGAGATGAGACATTTCAAACATGACAATATTTATTAAATAAATTTTACAGGGGCATGTGGTGACAGGACAAAGAAGTGTGGTTGTAGGCTGACAAGGGGGGGAAATTGGATTAGATGCTGGGAAAAAGGTCTTTACTATCAGGGTGGTGAGACACTGGCACAGGTTGCCCAGAGAATTCGTGGCTGCTCCATCGCTTTCAAGGTCAGGTTGGATGGGGCTTTGAGCAACCTAGACCAGTGGAAGGTGTCCCTGCCAATGGCAGGGGGCTGGAACTGGGTAAGCTTTAAGGTCCCTTCTGACCTAAACCATTCTATGATTCTATGATAAATGTGACCTACAGAGACAAAGTCCTTTATACTATCCCTTAAGTGTAATGACAACCAGTTACCTCCCAAGCCTATTAAATTTGTAAGGGACACAAACACTAGACTGTACCACCAATTATTTGTATGATGCACCCACCACATGAACAAGTTATGTACAGCTGGGAAACTCTCACACTGGTCAAAAGCTGGCCAGGTTGGCCTGTCATTAACTTCCACTGGGATAGGGTTTCTTTCACTAGGTCCCACATGTAGTGCACAGGGTAAAGCAGACACTGGTGTCCATCTCTGGTCCCTGTCTGCCCTGCAAAGCAGTTCAACAGGATAGAATATCCCATGGCAACTCCATTACAATTTCTATTATATGGAAATCTGACCCAGATCACCAGGGTAAAGACTTCTTGTCAGTTTCATAATAGTCAACTCATGGCGAGTTTCACTATCACGACAGTAAATATTGCTCAAACTTATAGGGGAGCATAAAGAATGCATATTGCCATGAACACTGAGGGAAGTACAACCTAAAATACACCTCACTGTCTGAAAACATGTATCAACATGCATACCATTACCTAAAACTGAAGCCTTTCCTCTCACTACATATGAGATTTAACATTACATTCATTAAAGTCACTTTTCCAAACATAATTTCACAAATGATAACCAGTTTACCTTTAACTGCAGTATCTTCCCCCTCATTGCCTGCACTTGTTTCTGCCCCTCTGGTGTAATTTTAAGTATCCTACACACAATGTTAAATCAGAGAAGGACAAATCTCAGCAACTCATTTGCAAAACAGCAGAGGAAGATGATTTATGAAGAAACAGAAAACACTTATGAATTTTAGATCAGGATCCCAATCACTGGCATTTTAACTTACTACAAACTCAAAACCATCTCTTCTTTTGACTGGAAGCACGTAAGAAGCCTTTCCATTACAAAGGTTAATTTAGCAAACCGACAAAAGGATTTGACATTGTAGCTGCAGTGTAGTGCCCAGTATAATCCTTTATAAGGAATTAGTCCATAAGTAACTACAGCCTTCTCTTTCAGAATATCGAGGCTAATCTTTAACTGAATCAGTTGACCTAAAACTTCTACATCAGCCACATGTCTTTCACGAGAAACAGATTATGCATTCAGAGGGGATTGTATTCTTACAGTATAGGGACTGTTTTATAGCCATCTGCCGTATATTAGGAATTTCTGACAACCTTCAATCCCAGTTTACCTGACCTACCTCGTTTTCCTTAGGCCACCAGTACATGATCTGTGCAGTAAGTTTTGGTACCCCAGAGTTTAATGAGAGGCTGAACCTCAAAGCACACTCCCCCCAAGATAAATGCATATTACAGGCCGTTCAGTTTGAGCACCACAGTGGCTGTATCCTTTTGGACTGGACTTACATCAAGACCAAGTTTAGCATCATGACTTTCAGTAACTTCTCAAAAACCTGTTTTAAATTACAACGCAAAAGAGCTTGGATGCTTTCAGTTTTCCAGAATTCCCTCCCAGAGTTACAGCGACCTCATCCTCAAAACTGTATTTAGGGACTGAGGTGTAAGAGAATCCAAATGCCAGTTTTCATGAACTACTTGAAATACAAATTTGTCAATAGGACATTAATACACCATCACCAACCAGAATCAGCACTCAGCATTTTCCTCAGTCCAACCCACTAAATATAGAATACAAAAAGTAAGAAATCAAAGCTGAAACAGAAAATTCAAGTGGTGCAAAGTTTTCTGGTCTTAATTTCACCTCACATTACATTCCGGAGTTCAACTGCTTCTCCTGAAAAGTGAAATATGTTTCGTTTTCCCGTGTTACAATTTCCCATGGAAAGCAAACTCCAGGCACTATGATATTAGACCGGATTCACAGCCAGAAATATATGACTAGCCTGAACAGACCCCTATTCAAGAGGTAGATTTCCCTCACTGCCTGGCTGCAGCACAAAGCCCACAGCAGCCCCTTCTTTAATGAGTTGATAGGGTGACCTCTTGCCTTTGATGAAGATGCTAAGGGAGTTGTCGTTGCTCAAGTCACCAAAGTTTTTGCTAACGTATTCAGCAAGGGAGAAATGTGTTGATGGTTTTATCTGCTTCCTTATGGGTTTTACAAGGATTTCTGGGAAGATGTGGTTTTACGATTCTCACAATAACTATGATTAACCTGGAAAGAAGTAAGCCACCCCCTCCTCATACTTAGGGTAGGAGTGCATGTTTATGAATGTGACTGAAACAGGACCAAAAAAAATCATAACCAGAACTCACTCCTGCTCTTACAGTGAATCTCCTCAGGTAAATACTGTCTCTAGGTTTCTGACTAAAATGCTTTAATCATTTGCAATTCACTGAAAGTAATATACTCATCTGTTACTCAAAGAAATGTCACGCAGGCTGCTAGAAGTTTCTAGGTGTTGTAGCCTAATTCTGCATCCATCAATAGGCAGCAAGAACACATCTTTGGTCCCAGGTGAGCACTGCAGGCTTTCCCTGCTCACTGCAATTAGAGCAGGATTTGCCCTTCCCCATACATCTGAACTGTTTTATCACAAACTCTTCTGAAGGTAGGAAATATCTGTCAGTGCCCTCCAAAAAACCGCTGGCCTGAAATTGCTCTAAGGTTTTACTACAGAAAATAAGGTAATATAGGACATTCCATCTCAAACAGCTCAAGTTTGGCAAAACTATAAACGACTGAAAACCAAGCCAAAAAATAAGCAACATTTGACACTTGTATGTCAAAACTGAAGAAATCATAGCCTACTCTTTCCACACTCTCTACCTGA